TGAAAGTGAGCCAGATGACTGGTCCCCAGTCTTGTGTGAAGCTCATCAGCGTCTCGTCCAGTCGAATGTTATGAATGATGATGCAGCCTGTTGCCGTGCCAACACCGACTACATCCACTGCAGGACTCTGTGAAGTTTTTATCATTTATATCTTATTATTATTATTTATTGTCTGATTATTTAACAAACAATTAAATTACATGTCAGTCAGTTGAATATTTTAATCATTCTTCAGAATAAAAGCATTTCATAGATAACATCTGTTCCTATAAATAACAGCTCAGTAAGAAAGAAAGTCACTTTAGGTTTTTCCTGTTTAGGGGTCGCCGCAGCGAGTCGTCACACTGGCGACTCGCATGTTACATTTGGCACGTGTTTACATCGGATGCCCTTCCCGACACAACCCTGATTCGAACCTGGGCCACAGCGGCGAGAGCGCTGCGCCTTAACCACTAGCCTACCAGGGATGGCCATATAAATAACAGCTCAGTAACTGTATAAAATATATTTTTAAAAACATCTTCATAAAGTTTTTGAAAATGAACTTTAAAAATTGGAGTAACTTTAAATTTTTTTTAAAATCCTTTTAATCTGTACAAATATTGGCTGAGACTGACCTGCTGCAGAGCAGTGATTCCAGACGACCAACCCGGAAATGTGAACAACAACGTGCTGCCAAGAAAACAGGTCTCAGTTAGTTCAAATTCAACATATCATGAGGAGAAACAGGCGGGGGCTTGTTTCCATCCAACTTGTCGTTGCTGCTGATGTCAGAGCTTCTTTGTTTGTTCAAAATCTGTCTCAGTTCACCTGTTCACATCTCGCCGGGCTCCCTGTCACCAGCTTTAACCTGGACCTGACTGGGCGGCTCTGGTGGTTGCCTGTACGGTTAGGATGTGTTGATTCACAGGATGCTCTCTAGCTACGAGTATCATTAGACTGTAAACCAAGCTGGAATCATCATGAACACCAGAAACACTCCTAGAAATTATTACATGTAAAGATAAGTGGAAACCTATTCCAATTTTTTTTGAATAAAAAGAAAAGCTGAATATTCACAGATTAAAAATATTATATTACCGTTTCCTACTTTTTGAAGAAATAACTTTAAGTAAATATCGACTTGTTTGAACAAGTCTAGACCTGACCTGTGTCTCAATTTATTTTTGTTTGTAATGTTTATTTCTTCAGTTGCTGTGTGTGGATTCATGAACTGATGTCAGTGTCTCCATCTCAGGAGTCCAGCTGTAAACATTTATTAAATATGGTTACAATTTTTAAAAAGAACACCTGGTCTTGATGTTCCACAGCTGCAGTGCACCTTGGGAGCTCCCCAGCAGCACCTTGTTCAGGTAGGCACTTGGGTGCATCATGGCCGACACGTCAAAAATGTGTGGGTCAAACTGCAGCTGCAGGTAGATGTCTGACAGGCAAAGAGAGAAAGGCATGATGGGTATCAGGACATGCACAATCAAGATGCAAATGAGCGTAGTTGAAGCTCCGCCGCCTCCTACTCACCACCCCCCTGGACATTCCAAACAATGACATCACCGCCTCTGTCAGCTGAGATCAGCTGATCACCCAGAGGAAGTAGCAGATGCACTTCCTGTTTGTGACCATGGTAACGCATCACCACCTGTACAGAGAACAAACAAGGACCAAATACTTATTTTAGAACTTATTTTTGGCCGGACAAAAGGATGGGCGACCTGTAAAAAACACAATGCCTCCAGCCGCAGCTATCAGCTTGTTTTAACTGTAATATAAAAAACTTAAAAGAACAAAAACACCTTTTAATGTACCTCTTTGTTCCTGGCGAAGGCAGTAACCAGACGCCCAGCAGCGGCGAACACCAACATCCTGTCTGCTGCCAAGCAGGTGATGTCATCTGAAAGGCTGTTACCTAGGCAACCACATCTTATTACATCACAGCACAGCAGCTAATCAGAGTGCACAACTCTCAGCAACGCCATCGTTTCAGAAAAATAATTTGAAGTACTCACTGACAGCAACGATCCCCAACCTGTTCACCTGCAATCAATCAATAATCCAGAAAATAACACTGGTTTGAAATAACGTATAAATAGAAAAACTAAATTAAATAAAATGTCAAATTCACTAATATCTTTTAACTTGTTTCTAGTGGACTGTGATACACACTAGGTCTTGTTAATGACTGGTTACAAATGCACACGCAAACACGTGTGTGCGTTGTAACCTGACCCCATCTTCCTCAGTGCTGGGAAGGGAACGTGTAAATTGTTATTAATAATTCTCACCCCAGTCATTATGACGTGTTTTGAGAGAGTGGTGCTGACCCCCCACCTCCCCTCCACTAATTCTAAAACAAAACGTAAAGGCTCTTACGTTGTAGGTGTGGAAACTTTTGCCAATCGCCGTCACCAGGTAAAACTCCCGGTGCTTCTTGTGAAAGTGCAGCGCGTGAGGGACGTGGTTGGAGTAAAGTCCCAGAACGCGGAAACCGGAGAACAGAGAGCTCCCGCCGCCCTGCATGTCCGATAGCAGCGGAGATTCACCGGATAAAACCCGAAAATAACAAACTAACAGTCAGACCGGACAGCCCATTAACGTGGAAAAAAAAACATGGAGAAAACACATGGAGGAGGGCCGACGAACTGAATCCGACTCGAAACAGTCATCAACAACACAAACGTTCCGATGAGAAGAAGTGCATGGGTTCCTTCCTCTTCATGGTTTTGGCGATACGACCCCTAACCCGAACCATAACCACACGGGACACTTACTAAAATAAAGGTCTGTTAGAAATGAATAAATCAGTCAGATAATTATTAGACATGAATGTGTTAGTAATGCAGTTTAGTAAGGTTCAGAGTATATGCTCTGCTTCAAGCTTAGAAGACGATGCTGATTCTGAAATGTGAGCTACAGTTACCATGACACCAATTGTTTTCCTGTATTAACCTTGTGTTGGAATACCATGTCTGAATAAATAAGTGAATGTCTTAGCTACACACCACGTGACAACATACACACACATTGAGCTTCCTCATTTTGTTATGACTAGGTAACATGCAGCTGCTCCAAGTCTGTGTAGCTCTAGATAAGAGATGGAGTCTGCTGGACGGACTTCATCTGTGTAAGGGGTTAGTCCAAAAACTGATAAATTTTATCAGTCTCCTTCTTCCAGGTTGTTCCTTCCTCCAGCAGCCGGAGTATGTGTGTGTTTCTGGAGGGAGGAACAACCTGGATCTGTTTGTAATTTTATTTGTGCTTTAAATAAATCAGCACTAAAATGAAGAAAGACGGACGCCTTCCTTACTCAGATCTGTCCAATAAAAGAACTGGGGTATAACAGGTCTAACGTTAGTATTCACTAGAGTTTGGGTTGCTCTTCATTTTGTTTAAATTATAGATGTAGTGGTTTAAAACAGGAATGTGGTTGTGGAAAAATAGTTTTAAATGATTTATTATGGAAAAAAATTTGTGAAAACGCCTTCTCAGAGAGGCCTTCCACAGTTAGCAAGCAACAATAGTAGGCTAAGCAACGAAAATCCGATTTCTTTGATAATGTTAGCAATGTTAATATTTCAAAGAAAACCAAAATTAATATTACCATTACTAACATTACTGAGATCACAGACTAAAACATCACCAATGCTGAAACTGTTACAACAGCTAACATTAGCATTAGCACCAGAGATGAGCCACAGCGCGGCACTGGGACTCAGCCCTAACCCTAATACCTAACCCTGACCTTCAAACCTCCACATGTAAACCACAGGATTTGTTTGTTGTGAATGAGACTGTGGATCATAACCAGGGTAATGTCTATGTTTGAACGTTCTGTTTAAACTTATACTGTAATTACACAAACATCCACACATATAGCTTGTGAAAAACGAGCCATCATTTTGGTGACTTTCATTTTATGCAAGTCCATATCAGAATCAGAATCTGCTTTATTGGCCAGGTGTGTCGGACACGCGAGGAATTATTTCTACCCAGATTTGCATGCACGCAATTGGTCATGAGCATGCACGAATCCCAGGCAGCCCCCCACTGAAAATACACACGTTAGTAATAAAACTAAATAAACTCCATTCAAACTCATATTTTGTAAAAGGTACTTGTTAAAACAATTTACTGAAGATAATATATGTATATAGGTCTATACACGTTTTTTAAATATATTTTTAACATTATTTCAGTCATGCACTGAACAAGCAGCAACTACCACAGATATGACTTTTATTTCAGGTGAAAACAGCAAAAGAAATAAATTTGTTTTAATTAAGAGTTTAGAGAGATTTTTTTTTCTACATCACAAGTTTAAACATGACTTTTACAACAAAATGTCAAAATATGAACAAGTGCAAACACAAGATTTGTCATGAATAAAAAACATTTCAAAAGCTTTGCTTTCTCAAAATGTTTCCATTTTGCAGGTACTCTTGGAAACTTTGTTTTTATTTTATTTTAACTGATTTATAATTTTAACCATTTTATTTATCCTTCACCTATCTGACTTGAATATTGAATATGAATCATAAATAATTTTATCTAAATCTACCCAGTCTCTCATTTTTACAACTTTATACAAATAAACAAGCTTTTTAAATTCACCGTGCTGTTTCATGTTTATTACTACTATTCACAGATTCATTCACTGCAGCAGGTAGATACTGCTGGACTGCAGGTGACCAATCAGTTGTCAGTATTTAAACACTGCATTTTTACACAGGCGCGTGAGTTCATGCAGGGCAGGAGGTGTGCAGATGTCAGCATCCGATCTGGAGATGTTGTTATTCTTTAGGATGAGCTAGGCTAACGGTTCCCCCTGCTCCCAGTCTGCGGGCTAAGCTAAGCTAAGCTAACAAAAATATATTTTTAACATTATTTCAGTCATGCACTGAACAAGCAGCAACTACCACAGATATGACTTTTATTTCAGGTGAAAACAGCAAAAGAAATAAATTTGTTTTAATTAAGAGTTTAGAGAGATTTTTTTTTCTACATCACAAGTTTAAACATGACTTTTACAACAAAATGTCAAAATATGAACAAGTGCAAACACAAGATTTGTCATGAATAAAAAACATTTCAATAGCTTTGCTTTCTCAAAATGTTTCCATTTTGCAGGTACTCTTGGAAACTTTGTTTTTATTTTATTTTAACTGATTTATAATTTTAACCATTTTATTTATCCTTCACCTATCTGACTTGAATATTGAATATGAATCATAAATAATTTTATCTAAATCTACCCAGTCTCTCATTTTTACAACTTTATACAAATAAACAAGCTTTTTAAATTCACCGTGCTGTTTCATGTTTATTACTACTATTCACAGATTCATTCACTGCAGCAGGTAGATACTGCTGGAATGCAGGTGACCAATCAGTTGTCAGTATTTAAACACTGCATTTTTACACAGGCGCGTGAGTTCATGCAGGGCAGGAGGTGTGCAGATGTCAGCATCCGATCTGGAGATGTTGTTATTCTTTAGGATGAGCTAGGCTAACGGTTCCCCCTGCTCCCAGTCTGCGGGCCAAGCTAAGCTAACGGTTTTCCCCTGCTCCCAGTCTGCGGGCTAAGCTAAGCTAACGGTTCCCCCTGCTCCCAGTCTGCGGTTAAGCTAAGCTAACAGTTCCCCTTGCTCCCAGTCTGTGGGATAAGCCTGGTTTACAGGACTGAAACTGTGTTACAGGTGGATTTATGTTTGTATTCACTACTTTATAGTGAAACTGTTCTGACTCTAGTGAAACAGAACAAAGTATAAAAATGTCGAATAGCTCCTTTAGACACATGAAGAGTCACATGACCACTTCTTGGCCTAGCCAATAAATGTTTTGGTTTAAATTTTTACTTTCTGACAAATTCAAGACTTTTCAAATTAGTAGTCTTTTTATATCCATTTCATTTAGGTATTTTTAACACCTGTATGCTTCATATCACTGCCAATAAGACAAAACGTTTGCTCAGTTTTATTGTTATTAGTTACCAAACTGTTTCCTGTAGTAACATTGTGCCACAGCTTTATGTTTTCTCTTGCTGTGGCAGTAATACTCCAGCTCTCCACAGAAAATGATGCTGCATCTCTATGGTAACACCTCTAACTGTGCTTCCTGTCCAGCAACAGTAGTCTCAGCAGTGTCTTGGCTGCAGCCAGAAGCGCCCCGTGCAGCGTGTACTGTGCCACCAGGGCACCAAACCCTCGATAAAACCCAGCTGGCCCTTCCTTGCGGTCGATGGCCTGGAGGCAGTCAGAGATGCCATCGTACTGTGTGTTGACAGGAAGCACAAGAGGGGTGCTGCCATTTCCTGTGGCCATGATGCCGTCAGTGGCGTCAATGATGGTTCGCGTGCCCTGCAGGCTGAGGCGATGCAGCATCGTCTCCAGAGGAAACACCATGATGTCGGCCACCAGAGAGCCTGCCCATGCCGCCACCAGCTCAGGGAAGTAGGCGTCCAGTGGGTTGGAGGGATCAGGACCCCTCTTCCTGCTTCGTTGGTGCAGCCACAGTGTCGCCCGCTGGATGGAGGCAGCGATGGCGTATCGCAGGACCGCGTGCAGCGCAGCAGGAAGCAACAGAGAGCTGAGAGGAAGCAGACGGTGACTGTGAGGAGCACCAACACCCAACAACCGAGCCAAACCTTCACGGACACAGTCCAGCAGTCCAGAGGACGAGTCATCTCGAACAATGTCACTCTGCGGATGAGAGAGGGGCATGATGGGTAACCACTCTGCACAGACCTCTGATTATCATGGATCAATAACATGAACCATTTAGTAACTGTTCTGGAGGCTCTGATCATGTTTGACCAAAAGGTTCATTTAGAACATTAGTACATCGAGGAGACCGCACTGCTGCTTTGGGAAAGGTAAAAGGAGGTGTGTGTGCGTGTTTATCAATAACTCATGGTGTGGAGATGTACAGACCGTTTATAAGCACTGTTCGCCAGACATAGAGTTGTTATTGCTTACATTCCGGCCCTACTATCTAGCCAGATAGCATAGTGCTGTGTTTCTGGCTACTGTGTATGTTAGCCCAAGAGCTGATCCCTCTGCAGCTCTCAGCAAACTATGATGTCATCAGCACGCTAGAGACAGCGCACCCCGATGCTCTTTTTTATCACTGCAGGCGACTTTAACCAGTGCAATTTAAAGACTGTACTTCCCAAATATTACCAACATGTGAACATTCCCACCCGGGACAAGAGCACTCTGGATCATGTTTACAGTAACATACGTGGTGCATACAGGGCTGCACCCTGCCCCCACCTTGGACGCTCAGACCACATTTCTTTGTTCCTGTATCCAGCTTACAGACAAAGACTGAAACAAACAAACCCTGTCACCAAACAAATTAAACTCTGGACCCCAGAGACTGAAGGCATCATGCAGGACTGTTT